TCTATGAGTCTGTTTCTGTTTGTTTATTTATATTGTTTTTGTAGATTCCACATATAACTAAAATAATATGGTATTTGTCTTTCTCCAATTGACTTATTGTACTAAGCATAATACCCTCTTCTCTTGTTATGTACAAAAAAATAGTAAAAGCATTATTCAAAATAATTCAATCATTAGTAATTTAATTATTACTTTTAAAATAAAGTTGAATACTTTATTAATAATTTACCAAAAATTAGGTATTATAAATCACACATGTTTAGGTCTAAGTAAATACTAAGTAAATAAATAGTAAATACTATATATCCCATCATCAGATATTAAGCAACTATAAGCTAAAATGAGGACAATATTCTTAAAAGTAATAAAATCAATTAGCACAAATGAAAAACTAGTGACATCATAATCCATTTTTCTTATTGGATTGGCCAAAAAGTTCATTTGTTTTTTCCATAAGATGGCTCTAGTAGCACTTAGTCACTTTTAATTTCATTTGAAACAATTTTGTTAGATCATATTGTGATAGCTGTCATATCAGCATGCATTAAAAAATCAAACTTGGTGAATTTTTGTGTAGCCACTTTAATATTGAATATGGAAGAAAGTGACATTTTTGGCATATCATGCTTTATTATTTCAATAAAGGTACAAATGCTACTGAAACACACAAAAAAAGATTTGTGCAGTGTATGGAGAAGGTGTTATGACTGATCACATGTGCCAAAGTGGTTTGTGAAGTTTTGTGCTGGAGATTTCTCACTGGATGATACTCCACAGTCAAATAGACCAGGTGAAGTTGATAGCAATCAGATCAAGTCATCAAATTGAGAACAATCAATGTTATACCACGAGAGAAATAGAGGACATACTCAAAATATCCAAATCAATAACGTTATTGGTGAAATGAAAAATGTGCCTTTTATTTTATGGAAAAAAAAACTAAATGTTTTGACCAACCCAATACTTTAATATACTGCATAAACACTTTATAAATTAAAGGACTAGTCAATTTGTTAGTGTATTTTACCTTAAAGTTTTTCATTATTTCTATTAATCTTTACTTTTACCTCAATCACAAAATGGGTATTTTTTTATAAGAGACTACATATGTCATGGGTGAAAGTATCTGTCATTGTTTGCCACATATTATTGGAATGTTCAAGAGTTCTGAGATTAACTAAAAAAGTACAAATTAAAATATGTTAAGACTGATTTTGTTTCAATAATTGAAGATATTTCATAAAAGGAAAAAAAGCTTATATTTTAGATCCAAAATCAAGGTTTTTCGTGTACATTTAAAAATGTTTCTTCATTTATTCTGTTAAGAAGCAACTTTAGAAATAAAACTACTTAATAAAGCCAAAATAAAATACAATTTAGTTATAAAATCTGATGACCATGCTGTAAATTATTGCTTTTTTCATATCAACCTATGTTTCCCACAGAATTACATTTAACAAAAAAATGTTATAAGAGATTTTTCCACCTTGTAAATAATATATCTGGGGACAGAAATGGGTAATCGTGATTTGCATGCATAATTAAGGAAGAGTAGTATGTCTGTGATGGAAATAATCCTGAGGCAGAAGTATTTTTTAAAATGTTTTAATTCCTGCCCTGACCAGATGACTCAGTTGGTTGGAAAATCATCCTGTACACCAAGAGGCTGTGGGTTTGGTCTTCGATCAGGGCACATACTTAGGTTGCTGGTTCAATCCCTGGTCAGGACACATATAGGAGGCAATTGATATATATGTTTCTCTCTCACATCACTGCTACTCGCCCTCTCTCTCTCCCCTTCTCCTCCCACTAGAAAAATCAATGAACATATCCTTGAGGGAAGATTAAAAAATAATAATAAAATGTTTGAATTCCTTAATATACTTTTAAATAACAATAGTAAATTATAATTTGTATTCAAAGGATATCAACTTGTTTTTAAAAATCACTTATTTTTTTAATTGCTGTTCAAGTGCAGTTTTCTGCCCTTTACCCCCATCCCAGCCCACCCACCCCAGCATTCCCCTCCTCCTTCCCGTCTCCACCCCATCCTTGTTATTGTCCATGTGTCCTTTATACTAGTTCCTACAAACTCTCCCCTTCTTCCCCTGAAATTCCCTCCCCTCTCCCCTCTGGCCACTGTCAGCCTGTTCTCAATTTCAGTGTCTTTGGTTATATTTTGCTTATTTGTTTGTTTTATTAGATTCCCATTAAAGGTGAGATCATATGGTATTTTTCTTTCACTGCCTGGCTTATTTCACTTAACATAATGCTTTCCAGTTCTACCCATGCTGTTGCAAAGGGTAGGAGCTCCTTCTTTCTTTCTGCTGCATAGAATTCCATTGTGTAAATGTACCATAGTTTTTTGATTCATTCATTTACTGATTGGCATCTAGACTGCTTCCAGCACTTGGCTATTGTAAATTATGCTGCTATGAACATTGGGGTGCATAGGTTCTTTTGGATTAAAAATCCTTTGTTTAAAAGTTTCTTTAACAAATAATGCTAATGTTGTTAATTCCAGTGAACAATTATTCAAGACTAAAATACAATTACCTGATTCTCTAATATGTTTTTTAATAGAGTAAGAGAGCCAAATCATCTATATGGAGTAACTCTCAGAGCACTGCCTGCCATCTTGCCCAAATTTTAATGTTAAAGTGTGATCTATAAAGACCCCTCTAGGATATTTTGTGAAGACAAATTCCTATGCAAGAATATGTGAATACTTAAAAGAAAATTGGTACACAGGACAAGGTAGAAAAGGAAACCTGACTGGGCTTAGCGTCATCCTGCAAACCTAAGCATCGCCGGTTTGATTCCCTGTCAGGGCACAAATCTGGGTTGCAGGGCAGGTCCCCAGTTGGGGGCATGAGGGAGGCAACTGATAAGTATTTCTCTCCTATATTGATGTTTCTCCCCCTCTCTTTCTCTCTCCCTCCTAAAAATAAATAAAATCTTTAAGAAAAAATAATAGTAGGAGAGGAAATAGGATAATGAGAATGATAAGAAAGGAAGAGGAAGAGTCTGGGAAGGATGAAAAAGCGTGAAGAGAAAGGATGAAAACATAAGTGACCATAGTTAATAACACTGGATTGTATAATAAAATTTTGCTAAGAGGTAGAACTTAAATGTTATTGCAAAAAAAAATGGTAAATAAGTGAAGTGATGAATTCCAGTGAACAATTAGCAGTGTTAATTAGCTTGATGGGGGAGGTTCTTTAACAATGTATATGTATCAAATCATCATGTTGTACACTTTAAATATTTTACCACTATATTTGTAAATGATGCCTCAGTAAAGGTGAAAAAAAGAAAGGAGGAAGAATATGCTAAGCAAATCCAATAAATAAAAATTTATATTGGACAAATTAAAAGGTAGTGATTCATTCTATGCTATGGGACACAATTAAATATAAACTGTCATTGCATCTAAAACAGTAATATTTATCTATAAAATATTCACTCATACATATTTTTCATGCATAGTAAAAGTCCAAATATACAGAACCTTTAGTTTTCATTAAGTCAAACCTAATTTTTCACTTAGAGCATCAAAACATTTACTTTTATACCAATGACAGCTGTACCAAAGAGTCAACTACTTACCTCCCTGATTCAGCATCATTCAATGGAAAGGAGTCTCTAATAACTCAATCACACTTGTAAACAGCCAATTTCAGGCTTTTCTACATAAATCACTACAGTGATTTATACAGTGGTAGTGATTTAGGAAAAGAAAAATGTAACATTGTAGTGGTCATGGCCAAGGAAACATAGGTTTGGAGTCTTAAAGTGAGGGAACATAACTTTTCCTACTATAAGTCTCATATTCCACTTAAAAAATATTGTCATCCAAGGTGTAGAAAGCTGGCAAGTACTGTGACTTGCTTCATATACTATAGTCCTCAACTCTTCTTAGTGATGTGTGTAAGAAGCTCTCAAAATACCACGTATTACACAGTGATCAGCCATTAAAAGAATAAAATCTCATCATTGTGACATAGATGAACCTTAAGGGCATTATGTTATGTTAAGTGGTATGTCAGAGAAAGACAAATATCATATGATATCATTTATATGTGGTATCATTTTTTTAAAGGTACATAAACACAGAGAATGATGGTTGCCAGAGATGGAGTTTGGAGCAGGGCAAAATGGGTGAAGGGATCAAAAGGCACAAGCTTCCAGTTAGAACATAAATAATTCATGGGGACATAACATATGGCTTGATGATTATATTACAGTAAATACCATACTGAATATTTTAAAGTTGCTAAGAGAATAAATCTTGAATGTTTGCATCACAAGAAAAAAAAACTATGTATGGCGACAAATGTTAACAAGAAGTATTGTGGTGATCATTTCATAATACACAAATATCAAATCAATATGTTGTTTATACCTGAAACTAATATAATTTTATATGCCAACTGCACCTTAATAAAAATTCATGGATATTAATAGAACCTTTAATCACATTAGCTGAGTTTAAGTTTAGTCCCCAAAGAATACTTAAGTTTCCTTATTGTGTTATATTGTTTTATGAAATAAGTAAATTCAATCTAAACTACTTGATTATTATTATTTTGTTACTTATTTCAAACCATAACATTCATGTATACTATTGCAAATTGATGCTGGTACCCTCTAATATAGGTCTACACCTAATTATCTATCAAACATTAATGGAAATATTACCATTCCAATCAGACACAATTTCCTTCCACTTGAAAATAAAAACTTCTAACTCAGCTCAACAACTAATTACATCTCAAATTATGGATTTGAAAAAATGTATTAGAAGCATATGTTAAAAATAAACACAAATAAAAATAAAATCTTGCTTTTCACTGAGTCAGTGTAATTTTTGTTTGTTTGCTTTTATGGCTATATGGTTTATGTCATTCTTCTGGGCAAGTTCAGTATACAGCCCTCATTCTTTAGACACTCAGAAAACCCCACAGGCTTAAACTGTCTGAGAACTTAATCTGATACTGTCAGCCGAAGACACCAGCAGTAGCACTGTAAGAACATTTGTCCTGAATTTTAACACTGTTCATTAACAGTTCCATTTTCCTGAGTTTGTGTTTGTTCTTTGGCATTGGCTTAGGATATAATCCATTTTTCAGAAGGTGTTCTTTGCTGAGGCAAATTCAAGCACCATGCTGAAGGTGGAAAGATCATAAAGCCTAAAGAGTGTGAAGCAAAGTCTGTTAAGATTTAAAAAAAAAAACCCTAAAAAAAATGTCTGTGACAAGTCATGGTATTCTACCTAGAAGTTTTCTTCAGGAACAATTATTATTATTTATTATTATTATTATTATTATTATTATTATTATTATTATTATTTGCTTTTAACTATGAAAAGCAATAGGCACTCTAATAGATAAATGATGATTTCCAAATAAATTATTATTTATATCCATACCTTATATACCATTAAGTAACTCCAGTAAAAAGACCCAAATTGATTTTCCATATAGGTGATAAAGTCCAAATTTAGTTTTATGCATTAAAGTATTCCAACCCCACAAAAAAGTGTTGCCATTATAATTTAATCTGTGACAAGCAGACTGCAAAAAAATTTGTCGATAATAACAATCAGTTGATTCTTTTTGCAATCACAGGAGGCTGCGTGCTTTTGTTACAGAACAAACAAGGGGGGCCTGGGACGATATACTATTATTGAAAGAAGGCCCCGGGTCCGTTATGTCCGCTGCCCTAGGAAAGACGTCTCTCAATGCCAGAGATTTGTGAAAAGGAAAGGAAATGTTTATTTAATGCTATACAAACTTAAAGTAGTGACCTAATGTCTTTATCAAAATCCTAAAGTCCCTAAAAAACACCCACAAACAGACACAGTCCTTCCTTCCTTCCCCCTTTGCCCAGTCCAGAGTACTGTATCTCAGGAAAGGAAATAGAAGTCCATGGCTCAGGCAGTCCTCTGGTTCTTCCCAGTTAGTACTCCATCTCGACTGGGAGACCTCCATGGGTTCCCGGCACCCTCAGCTGAGTCGCCGGGATCTCTGCTAAAACCAGGTGGTGGTTCCCCCTTCTAAAGCTGCAGGGGTCCCCACTCTGTCAAGGCCGCGTGGTTCTCTCTCAGAGCTGCAGGAAGGGCGAGTCCCCACTCTGTCCAGGCTGCGTGGTTCTCCCCCAATGGCTGCCATGTCTGGGTTTAAATCCCCCGTGCCAATCTTCTTCTGCAGCCCCATTTCTGACTCCTCCTACACTTGGGCACACTTGCCCTCAATCTGCTGTCTTCTCCAGCTTTTCTGGTCACCATCGTGGGTCTGGGCAAGTGTCACCCCCATGTCATGGAGCCAATCTTCTCCCAGCTCCCACGCAGGTGCTGTAACTCAGGGGACCTGCCCCCCAGTCACATCTTGGTGGGGGAGATCCCTTTCCATCCCCCCCTGGCCTTGAGCATGGCCATAGCTATTTAGCATATCTAAGTGACCAGCCAAAGGCTATAGGTATGCTAAATGACCATGCCATGGATTAGCTGCAAAGCTGCCCTGCATGTTCTTGCTCTGTGTGCCCCTTCCCCCAACTCACACCTGTGGGGGAAGGGGTGAAGACACCTTAAAATCTCCTGGACACCTTGAGTTCTGGACCCTATTTCAAATGCCTATTTGGGGTCCCCCCTCTTGGCTGCACCCTGTAACACTTTCTGCTCCCTGAGAACAATTAGCTGATGGCAGTAATGGTTTACTAATGCACAGCAGTCCATGGACCACAGACAAGTTCGTATCCAGGTTTTGGTGTATTCAGAATAACCCTAACTGTACAGCACAGTCTAAATTTAAATACCTATAGGGCCAGCCATTTAACATAAGCATGTGAATTGGGTGGACAGAGAATGGAGGGTAACAGTGAATGGAGGAGGTTGTAAAACACCTGGAGCATATGCCTTTCCTAATGTTATTCAAAGTAATTTTTTTAAATGAAAACACTGTATTAGTTTTTATACCATACAGAGATGTCAGTGTTTTAAACGTTTTGAGTCAGATTCTTTCCTTGAGCCTGAGACCCCTTATCTAAATTTTAAAAATAACAATAGCAACACTTGATTAAGCAGATTTTAATAAAAAAATAAAGAAAAAGAATAAAGGAAAAAACTAATATATTTAACTACAAAAATTTCAAAATGTCCATGTGAAAATTTATTCCCTCACATGTACAACACAAGAAGTAAAAAGAGCTTAATGGCTTTAATGTACAATAAACTCTTACAAAATTGAGCAGTCACTGGTAATTGCTTCTTCATAATCCATCCATTCTTTTCTTTCTTATTAAAATACCAAAAATTTTATTCTAGGTAGCAGTGTGTCCAGCTAGTAATATGACATTGGGTAATAGCATGGTCTAGCCAATGAGATGTAAGTGGAAGTCCTTAGGTGGGGCTTCCAGAGGGTCTCTTTGAAATAGGACAGACTCAGCAGGCAGAGGCTCACTCTTTCTCCTTGACTGGAACAGCATCATCAGAAGTGGAACAACCACCATATGTCTATAGGGCAATAAACATGAAGATTAAAACCAAATACATACAATGATGATCAAAAAGGCAGGAAGAAGCTGGGTCTCTGATGCATTGCCAGCCCTGGCAGTTCTTATTTACAGGAGAAAAAGAAATTCCGATATGACTCAACCACTGCAGTAAGTGCTCTGTTACATAAGAAAAAGACCAGTATCTTTGAAAAGTCTGCATGAAACTGCTGTAGAAAGTCCCTTAGATATGTTCTCATGATTTCTTTTAATATCTTCATTTCTTCAAACAAGAGAGAAAATGTGGAAATGACTATATATTACTTCACAGAGTCAACACAGTAGAATGATTGGATTCTGAATCACCGTACTTAGGAAACGTATCTACAACTATGTACAGACTGAGACTATTGAAGTTCTATTGCAATTTTGTGACATTAAATTTTTAATGGACAGGAGAATACTAATATTCCTGTGGTCAAGGGCCTCCAATTTTTACCTTCTGAAGATGTTTCTATTAATTTGCTGAGGTAACTACAGAATGAATTTTGGAAACAGACAGACCTGAATGAGATTCCCCACTTTACCTCCGTGGTAGTCACTAGGGCTATTCACAAATATGCCAGTGCTCCCTGCCTGGTACATAACCAGACTGAATTTTCTAGCCCCCTTTGAAGTTAGGCATGGCTATATAAGTAGCTTTGATTAATGAAATGTGTGCGCAAACAATATGTGCCACCTCTGGGCAGAAACTTTGAATGCAGTATATGATTTATCACCTCCCCTTATCCCTTCTTTGAAGAGAGTAGAATGACATGCCTGGAGAGTGCCTCCATCAGCTTGGGTCCCTAGGTGATTGCAATGAGCAGAGATCCTCCTGGCAATTCCACTGGACAGACAGCATGCAAGAGGCATAAACCTTCATTGTACTATGCCAGGGGTGTCAAACTCATTTTCACCAAGGGCCACATCAGCCTCCCAGTTGCCTTCAAACGGCAGAAGGTAATTTTAGGACTGTATAAATGTAACTACTCCTTAACAGTTAATCAAGAGCTAGGCCCCGCTACGGGGTAGAAACAAGGTACTGGGTGGAATAAAACAAGGTAGAGGGCCGGATTCAGTCCACAGGCCTTGTGTTTGCCACCTGTGTGTACTATGCCATTCCAATTTTGGAGTTTTAAGTCATTGGAGCCTAATCCAGTTCATCCTTTTTAAAAATTGAATTTATTGGGGTGACATTAGATAATGAAATGATACAGGTTCAGGTGCACAATTCTATAGTACATCATCTGTATATTGCATTGCATGTTCACCATTCCAAGTCAAATCTCCTTCCATCACCATTAATCCTCCCTTTACCCTTTTTTACCTCCCCGCAACCTACATCCTACATCTCATCTGGTAATCACAATGCTGTTATCTGTATTTTGGGGGGTATTTTTTAATTCTTTTCTTTTTTTGCATAATTCCTTCACTTTTTTCATCCAGCCTTACAACCCACTTCCCCTCTGACAGCTGTCAGTCTGTTCTCTGAGTCTACTTCTATTTTGTTTATTTTATTCATTCAATTCCACATATGAATGAAATCATGTGGTATTTGTCTTTCTCTGACTGACTTATTTCACTCAGAATAATGCTCTCCAGGTCCATCCATGCCATTGCAAAGGGTGAGTTCCTTGTTTTTTACAGCCAGGTGGTATTCCATAGTGTAAAGGTATCACAGTTTTTTTATCCACTCATATCCTTATGGACATGTGGGCTGCTTCCAAATCTTAGCTATTGTAAATAATGTTGCAATAAACACTTGGATGCATATATTCTTTCAAATTAGTGTTTCAGACTTCTTCAGATATATTCCTGGAAGTAGAATTGCTGGGTCAAAATAATCCAGCCTGTCTTGACTGATGTAATCATGTACTAGCTCTATGTCCCCAGACATTATACAATCCCTCTTTGCCTCATTTTCTTCATTTATGAAATGAGGAAAATAATGTCTACCTTGTAAGGTTGTTATTATGGTACACTAAGATGATGCATTAAATTATGTTTGACATACTACTTGATAATAAATGATAATATTCCTATATAAATAACATTATATCTGAGGCAATGTGAAGCTATGTGAGAGATAGACTGGTTCTGAGGAACAAAGAAAATCCTCTTATAAAATTAACAAGTTCGAAAAAGGTTATTTGACAGGAGAGTCAAGGTTTTATAAATCCTTTTGTCTGCAGGTACAAAGTGAGTTTCAAGGGACCATTATTACCACCGACTAGTGCTGAGTAGAGCTAAGGCACTTAGGCTATAGCACGAAGCTTTGCCATGTCTAGTTATAAAAGTTCACAAGGTAAAACTTCATAAGCAGAGATGGTTCTATAATAAAAAAAGTTCCAGGGTACAAAAAGCCCTAGTAAATATTATTGTAGCTGAATGAAAATCACAGCATTTAGTTCAAAATTTTTGTCAATCCAACAGAAAGGCAAAAAAGGGCAAAAGGATTAATGATCTGAATGTCTGGTGCCATGCAATTAACATATGTTATTCCATTGAATTCTCACAACAACACTATGAGGTTAACTATTTTTTTATATTACAGGCAAGGAAATGAGCACAAAAAGATTATATGAACTGCCCACTGGCAAAAAGTAATGATGGTAAATAATGAAGTGTTCATTGAAACCTGATTCAAAGCTCACATCATGCTACTTCAAGTGTTAGAAAAACTTTTTGAGAATAAAAGATGAGGATGAATCAATAGGCTAAAGTGGCCATTATTTTGAGGAGCTCTACCTCTACAAAATGAAGTCAGCTGAAAAAGTACTAATCCCCCCATCATCTTAAGGTTTTATGATGATGCTACTAATTAAAGGTTATTGGGGAGAAATGTATGACATAGATTTCTTCCCCAGGAGAGAAAGAAAACACCAATGTTTATAGCAGACAATAGTTGTGTTTCTCAGAGGAATGTACCAACATTTTTTATTATTGCTAGATTTGAATAGGCTGACCTTGGGGTTCCCCCACTAAGAAAGCTAATTTTTCCATCTGTAATAAGTAACTTGGGATGTTTCATTATGCATTTCTTCTGCTTATACTCTAGTCAATCACCTTATCACCACCCACAAATCACACTGTCTGATTGTCAAACCCCCTTTTCCTACTCCTAATGACTATGGTATGATTGCTGCTGATAAAGGTAAATAGACAGAGAACTCTAGGGCCTCACCATTACTTTGGCATTTTATATTCAATGCTATCTGTAGATAACAATAACAAAAGCTAAAGAGATGAAGCGTAGTGTCTCCATTCTGTATGTTAAATTTTGTCTGTTGTTAGATATTATACTCAGAACATAAAATAAGTTTCCTGCTATAATAGTACATTAATTAATACCAGAAACATGTCTTATAAAGCTGGGAAAGGGAGAAGCAGTAGCAGCGTTAGCAGCAGCAGTACTAGCACAAACCCTATCCTGAACCCCAGCCACATTACTGTTATTAAGCCACCACCAATACCAACATTAAAGCTTTTGTTTAGGATTGTAGTAAAGATGGAATTCCAACTGTGAGAATAAGGATGTATGTCCATAGTGGATTCTTTTCAGAACCCCCAAAAAGGTGAGGAAAATTTTAAATCCATAAAGCCAAATTCTTAAAGCCAAAGAATATTACATTTTCCCCTCAAGATTTGAACTTTTAGTCAGTCCTTGGTCTGATGGTGGCTGATCATACAGATTTCCACCAACCGAAAGGGAAACACAAAGACTACATGGAAAGCAAGCTTAAACAATATTAAGACACTTAAAAATAATATAGTTTATTTTTTAGTTTGTTTATTTGTTTTCTCTCTCAAGAACTTAGAGGAATATTGGTGAATAGACAAAAAAAAAAAGACAAGTACTACTGTACATTAAGCATTATATGCCTGCAGCCAGGTGCCTGGAAATAGGTAACAAGGGTAGAAGGGAGGGAGAAAAATCTGAAGACACTTCCTAGTCATTTGGGGTAAGGATTTAGAGCCCCTCATGAATATTTTTCTCAAAGGAGAGGACTAGAGAAAGTAAAACTGCCTAGATCCCAAACAAAGCCGACTTATATGGACACACACATAACAAAAAGCCTGCCCATGAAGAAACGTCTCTGACTCCGACTCCGACATTTCCATGTCTCAGGGTAGGGGAGAGGAGAGGAAAAGACAAGTGAATGCCTGTTCCTGGAATTCTTGAACTCTCCTTGCTCTGAAGGTCTTTTCTTGTCTTGCTTGGTAACTAGCCCAGTTACTCTGACTTGAGCTTGTATCCACTATTAAAATTTTCTTCATGGCTAAGGTACCTTCTTATACAGTATATAATGAGAGAGAGAGAAAAAGAGAGAGTGAGAGAGCGGGAAAGAGTATTTGGTGTCTCTGTGTGTATGTGTGTTAGTTTAAAAATTTAATTTAGTTATATTTGTTATCCTCTGATTTTCCTTCTTGAGTTGTATTTATCACATTTCAGTGATTAAAAAACCTAATATAAATTTTATTTCGCTATTTTTTCTTTTGCCAGAAGTGCAAAATTACTTACATGTTCCAAAGACTGAGATGTTATGAGTGCAATAAAACATTCTTTACTGATGATTATTAATTATATATGAATCATCAGGCTTTCATGAAAATTAAATAAAATGATGATTGCAGGTTATAATCTTTTCATATTCTGCAGGCATTTTTCTTAAAAAATTTTATCTTTTTATACTCTAAGTATGGTTAATTAGATAAACAGGAAGTTGGTATAACTCCTCAAATAAAGGAAACAATGCAAAAAAGTAAGATGTCCTTCTTTTAATTAAAAAGAATAAAGTAAAAGTATACAGAAGCATGAATACTAAAAGGGAAATAGAAAACACTAAAAGAAAATTCTAGCCCCCCAAAACCTATATTTAATGTTGTAATACTTACATGTAATTTAGCATATTGCAAATGTTGTTTGCATAACTTAGAATAAATATATAAATACTTTTAAATAATGGGATCTGGAATACTAAACTAACAGAAAAATACCAGAGAGGAAAAGTTTATAAATGTAGACAAATCTCTATCACAGATACATCCTGCTTTTCACTTGAGCTACAAATTTAACAAGCTAGGCATTTCTAAACTTTCTAAATAAAATTTAACCAAACTCCTACTTTCAAAAAACTACATAACCTTCAAAGACATACATAGCTCTTGTATGTAATTATTTTTCTCCAAAATGGAAAGAGCAACAGCTGCACACTCCAGTGTAGACAGAAACCTATGAGCTGGTTGCACCAAATTACATACTGACTAGAAATGCTCATTTTAAATGCACCTGAAACAAAAACACAGAATAGAATGTAATTTTTGTATTAAATTTAAAACTATAAAGTCTATATTTTAAATGCTAATTACTTTAATTTCCTTCCAAAATTGCCAGTTTAGAAATAGTAAATGTACCTATATTTTCTTTATATAATACCCTTATGTTATTGTCAAATAGTAGAAAGGAGAGTATATTTTCACATATATCTGACAAAGAAAATATATTCAAAACGAATACAAATTCCTATCAAGCAAAAATGGATTGACTAATAACCCCGTCAGTAGGCAAAAGACTGAATAGACTTCACAAAGAGGATATAAGAATGGCAAATAGGTGTCTCAACATGACTTAGTATAAATTAAAATATAATAATATAATGTTTCATACTCACCAGAATAGTAAAAATCAAAATTATTAGCAGTACCAAATGGGGAGAATATGGAGCAAATGAAACTCCCATACATTGTGGTAGGGGTAAAAATGGTTTAATCACTTTGAAGAATTTATTTTATGGTTTGTCCTCCCACTATTTCTTAATGTAAATTGATAGGTGTATGTCTGTGTGGGTGTGAGTGTATATAAACATAGAGACATACAGACATACACATATGTATATATATGTCCTCTCTTTTTAGATAAACATAGCACATTATACAGATTTTGCCCATGAAGATAACATTTTAGCTGAGACAATGACTGAGTTAGACATGAGAAAGACAATACAAATTTGAATGCCAACAATTTGGCCTTTATATTCCTATTTTAATTTAATTAATCATACACTCATAAAGCCATATTCTACCCCACACTCTGATCAGAATCACATTTAAAGATGAGAATTTCAGTTTTTACTCATAAAATATCTAAGCATGGGGACTGAAGGTAGACTATACACAGCACCTTTCTAAAATCAGGTGTTTTATTTTCTGGTATCACTGAAGTCCTATGAGTCTGTCATTCCTACACCATAAAGCTCTACTGCTCATGGCACCTTGTAACTCAACCCCTCCCCTCCTTTGTTTCTCACTCATTCCCCCAAGGATGAGAAATACAGGTCTTCTAATAAAAGTGCTTTTTATTCAAGTAATTCTTCTGTCCAACTTGTTTCCTTTTTTTCCTCAGAAATGGGAAGAGAGAAAAGAAGGAAAGAAGAAGAAGGGGAGAGGGAGAGAGAAAAAAAGGGAGGGTGGGAGAAAGGGAGAGAACTAAAGTGTGTATCATGAAAGATTCACAACAGAATGTATTTGGTTTTAGAATACATCCTTTAAACCATATTTGACTAATAATGTTTTAGATATGATCATGTTAAAGTTATTCTGCATTTCTACCAATAGACAAGATGAAAAATAGATGCAGGGAGGAAAAGAGATAGAGAAAAATGTTTGAGGAACATGTATAATGATAAAAGAAAGCCTATGATTAAATAATGGTAAGAATAATTCATAATGTTGATTAACTGTAATTACTAATGGCTTAATATTTCATCAGGTCAACCTGTACAGATGACTACTGCTTCAATACTCAATTTCAAATCATCATCTGAGGAATTTATAATAGGCATCTGATTACAAGAAAACCTTTGAAAAACATGCAAAATTCACAGTAAATTTTGTTTACTGGAATGAGTTTGATTTTTAAAATAACTTTTTTTGAAGTCAAAGAGGTATTTTAATTCTTATTGTGACCCACATGGCTATATGAATACTCAGAATTTGAAATTTATCATCTGCTACACTTCATAAGCTATATAAATGTCTAATCATGGGGTTATACACCTGAAACTAATATAACATTGTATGTCAACTGTAATCTAAAAATTTTTAAAATTTACCCTGACTGGCATGGCTCAGTATGCTGGGAATTGTGCCACAAACCAAAAGGTCACCGGTTCAACTCCCAGTCAGGACACATGTCTGGGTTGTGGGCCACATACCTGGCTGGAGGCGTGGGAGAGGTAACTGATCAATGTTTTTCTCACACATTGATGGTTTGCTCTCTCACTTTCTCTTCTCCCTTCCCTGTCCGTAAAATAAATAAAATCTTTTTTTTTTAATTTAAGGAAAAAATGCCCCAGCTGGTGTAGCTCAGTGGATTGAGTGCAGGCCTTTGAACCAAAGGATCCCAGTTTGATTCCCAGTCAGGGCACATGCCTGGGTTGCAGTCCAGTTTCCCAGCAGGGGGCACATGAGAGGCAACGGTACATTGATATTTCTCTCCCTCTCTCCTTCCCTTTCCCTCTAAAGATAATAAAATCTTTTTTAAAAATTTTAAGGAAATTTTTAAAAAGCTCATACATATCTAATAAACATCTCTATAAACGTGAAAAAAAATGTGTGAAAAAAAATCAGACAGCTGGACCTAAGGATGTTAAAACCTATCTTTCAGCAATCAACCCTAAGGATATATTTCACATATATATATTGATAATAATATATTAATCCATTATATATCACCATTATTAGTATATGTTATAAAATTATAATATATATCATTTTAATTTCCAAGTTTTTGAAGCTATGCTGAACAAAAATGCTTCAGTGATTTTGAACTTTTTGGACATTGGTTCTCTATGGGTATAAGTTGTTTGAGTGCTCTTATTGTAACTTCTTTCAAAACAGGAAAATCATTGGTTGGTGTAGAATTCTACCAGTGTAAAGTGAGCCTATAACTTCCATTTTAAAAACAGCCAGGTCTTCCACATCTTATTTCTAGACTTGGCTTCAGATCTTCTCCATTGATTCTCTGAATTGACTAAAATTTGAATTCCTGGAAATTCTTTTGTTGTTATAATACCTTCGCTTCTTCTCTTTCATTAAATCTTAAGTATATAAGGTCTCTCCAGAAAATGTTCAGCCATGTGATATGAAAAATAGAGACATTTATTGATGAAGAAACAAGATACAAGAAACATCGTACACAGGACAATGATGCCTCAGTCCCCTTCAAAAATGGACATCTCCAGACCTCACATAGTTCTACCAATTGCCATCAGCTGCCCTGTCGTATTTTCCTGAATCTCATTGATGGTCTGAAATCTCTTCCCTTTCATAGGTGATTTTAGTTTTGAGAAAAGCCAGAAGTCACAGGGCACCAAACCTGGGCTGTAGAGGAGCTGAGTCACCTGGGTGATTTGATGTTTCACCAAAAAACTCTGCACAAGATGTGATGCATGAGCTGGTGCATTGCTGTGATGGAGGTGCATCACCAGTTGCCCTTAGCTGCTGCCTGCTGAGTCATCTGAATATTTTCCACAAAGGAATGTTTAAGCTTAACACAAAATTTAATACAGATGCATTGCTCTACTGTCATTTTGAATGCAACTGCCACACAGTACATGAGCTCATTCAATGGTGTCTACCACCCCCACTGACTAGTACAGTGAAGTCTTGAAGTCATCATTGTTCATGCACGTGCATTCTGGTCCACTCTCCTTGGCTGCCAGGTTACATCATGTCAAGCAAACTGTTCTTGTTATATTAACGATGTTTGGACTTTTTCCAGACTAGACAATAGTTGTTGAAAAAGTTTTTGTGACATTTACTTTATATGACTACACAACTTAAAACATTACATGACATTTATTCCCTTTAGAATTTTTGTCTCCAAAGTGCTCTAAATATGTCACTTTGAATTAAAGCATAATGTTTGGAAAGGATAAATTATTTATGCTCTTGATGTAGATTTCAATAACATGCTGAGCTTTGCTCTAGTTGATTTTTCTCTGTATCCCCAAAGAAATTGCTGAAAATATTTAGATGCAAAGTTTTCAGATTTTACATTTATAGAAAACAATGTTAGAATTGCATAGAATAGAAGAAAGTAATCCTTTTAATATTCTTAGAAAAGGACTGGATAAACACTACATATTTTATATGTAAACACAGTTAGTGTTTGATCCATAAGATCTAAGTGCTTTTTATAGATATCTCAGCTTAAATGTAGATGTACTTTTTTGGGGATATTTTCCTAAAATACCCACTTTTTGCCTCTTAAACCCATTTTATTATTTTTTTTACTGTTGTTCAGTTACAGTTGTCCCACCTTTCCCCCCATTACTCTCCTCTGCTCCATGCCTTCGACTCCCAGAGTCAATCCCTGCTATAGATGTACTTTTTAAATAATATAATTGGCTAAATCTCTAGTTCTTGTAGGATTTGTGTACCATCAGTGGGTTCTCCCTTCCTTACAATCTTACTAACATTCCTCAAAAGAGATAAATTATTACTAGTATTTATTTCCTAATTCCAACATTTTAATGTAAATGTTAGTAATTGACTAAAGCAGTGTTTTACCACCTTAAGTTTAAATTCAGACACAGATCCCTAATGTCTTTACACAGGTCCTTTCTCCACTTCTCTTTTTCACATCTGCTTCCCCAGCAAAGTCACAATCCCCCAGCTTCTTAAATCTGGGTGTAATTAACTTCTGGGTATAATTCATAGCTATATTTAATTGTCTCATGGCTGTGCTCATTAATTCAAGCAATGTTTCCTGAACACCAGCCACTGTGTTGGGCACTGTTCCTTACACCAGATGACAGTGGCAAGGAAGCAAAATAGACAATCTATGTCTGGGTGGAGCTTACATCATGTGGCAGTAAGTCACTTAGAAGTATATAATTACAAATTAAAATTGTGAGAGTAGAATATAAGGGTGCTTTAAAATGGGGATGAGATTGAAGTTACAGTTCACAAAGAACTCTCTAGCATTTGAGAACTAAAGGGTATGTAGTAGTTAGTGAGAAAAGAGAAGGGTAAAGAAATGTTCATACTTAGTCTGGCTACTAGGTAGTGATGGAGGTGAGGAAAGAGCAGTATTGATGAAATGGACAATTTATAGACCATGTTTAGGATTTTGCTTATTGGAAAGCTAAGGATTTTAATCTGAGTGACAATGTGGTCATTTTTGTTAAAGACTATTTTTACAGTAGTTTTAGGTTCACAGCAAAATTGATTGGAAAGTACAGAGAGTTTGTGTGTGTTTTAGAATATTTTATTATGACT